GGGCTCAGTTTCACAACCCTGAGATCATGACCTGAGCAGAAGTCAGGAGTTGGACACCTAACTGACTGTGCCACCTAGGCACCCTGAGACTCCAGCTTCTTCTTTTTTTTTAAGATTTTATTTGAGGGGTGCCTGGGTGGCTCAGTGGGTTAAAGCCTCTGCATTCAGCTCAGGTCATGATCCCAGGATCCTGAGATTGAGCCCCACATCGGGCTCTCTGCTCAGCAGGGAGCCTGCTTCCTGCTCTCTCTCTCTGCCTGCCTCTCTGCCTACTTATGGTCTCTGTCTGTCAAATAAATAAATAAAATCTTAAAAAAAAAAAAAGATTTTATTTGAGAGCGAGAGAGTGAGCATGAGCAGGAGAGAAGCAGAGGGAGAGAGGGAGAAGCAGACTTTCCAATGAGCAGGGAACCCAATGCGGGGCCTCGATCCCAGGATCCTGGGATTATGACCCGGGTCAAAGGCAGATGCTTAACCCACTGAGCTACCCAGGCGCCCCGAGACTCCAGCTTCTTAATGCTTGATTCCTTCCCTCTATAGTTTTACTTTCTTTCCGTAAGACATTCCTTCAACCTCCTCACTGTGCTAACTTTTCCCGTTTTCTTTTTTTAAAGATTTTATTTATTTATTTGACAGAGATCACAAGTAGGCAGAGAGGCAGGCAGAGAGAGAGGAAGGGAAGCAGGCTCCCTGTTGAGCAGAAAACCCGATGTGGGGCTCAATCCCAGGACCCCGAGACCACGACCTGAGCTGAAGGCAGAGGCCTAACCCACTGAGCCACCCAGGCGCCGCCCCCCCGCCCCCGTTTTCTTCACCCTTCTCCTTTTCAGGCCACATTTTCTGGCCCCCTCATATCTGTCTTCTGCTCCCCACTACTGTCTCTGAGTGTCCCACGGATCCCTAATTCCCCCCCACCCAGAGCTCCCTCCTGTTAGTTTACATTCATGGACTCTGATTTAAAGTCTTTCTTATGCCAGACTGCATTTATTGTGTATGCGTTTTTGTTAAGCAAAGCCATTCATGATTGCCAAGATGAGCTTTCTTGGATATGAAATGACAGTTGCACCCACAATGAGAAATGAAATGACAGCCCAAAGGTAGGAAACCTGATACTTCAGTTAGCCACTCGGACACAAATAGGGTATCATGTACAGTCTAGACTCCTGTATTTGGGCCTTTTTTTTAAGTTTATTTACTTATTTAAGTAATCTCTATATCTAACATGGGGCTCGAACTCATGACCCCAACATCAAGAGTCGCATGCTCTTCCATTTTTTTTTTTTTTTTTTTTTTTTTAAAGATTTTATTTATTTGTCAGAGAGAGAGGGAGAGAGAGCGAGCACAGGCAGACGAATGGCAGGCAGAGGCAGAGGGAGAAGCAGGCTCCCCGCCAAGCAAGGAGCCCGATGTGGGACTCGATCCCAGGACGCTGGGATCATGACCTGAGCTGAAGGCAGCTGCTTAACCAACTGAGCCACCCAGGCGTCCCATCTTCCATTTTTTTTTTTAAAGATATATTTATTTGGGGAAGCTGGGTGACTGAGTTAAGTGTCTGACTCTTGATTTCAGCTCTGGTCATGATCTTGTGTTGTGAGATCAAGCCCTGCATCAGGCTCCACACTAACAGGGCATCTGCTTCAGATTCTTTCTCTCCCTCTCCCCCTGCCACCTCTCTAAAATAAATAAAACCTTAAAAAAAAAAAAAAGAAAAAAAGATTTATTCATGAGAGAGAGAATGCGAGCAGAGAGAGGGGCAGAGGGAGAGAAAGAATCCCAGCAGACACACCGCCGAGCATGGAGCCTGACCTGGGGGGCTCGACCCCAGGACCTGGAGATCGTGACCTGAACCGCAACGAAAAGTCAGAAGCTCCACGGACTGAATCGCCCAGGCGCCCCCAGAAAGCATGGTCTTCTGACCGAGCCAGCCAGGCACCCTTGGGCTCCTACGTTTGGACAGAGAGTAGTTCGCAGGCCTCATGACTACCTTCTGAGGACCTGGGGCTTGCAACCGCTGACCCAGGCTTTGTGTTCCTGTTCCAACTGGATTATCAGGCTTCAGCTTTTCTGTCCTCACAGCTCACCGCAGTCTCTGCTTCCGGGGCCTCCCTTTGCAAAAGCTGGGGTTTGTATTGGGTTCTCAGGATTGTTGCATATGCCGGGTGGCCAAGAAATGTTTTCTTTTCCTCAGGCGCCTCTCAAGAGATGGATGTTCCTGGGAGAGACATGTTCTCCTAATAGCAGGGCTTTTCTTATCTCCTGACTTCCTGTCCGTATCATTAAGTTTTTCTTCCTGTCTCACTCAGAACCAGGATTTCCTGACTACAGTGGTCTGTGAGCATTTTCTCCCATATTACAAATGCAGTATTACTTATTAGACAAAAAATCAATACACACTGACAAGCGAAGATTTATAATAGATGACATTTGGGGGGGCTTTTCGTGTGGGCTGGGCACTTTGTTAGCATTTGAGGCCGACAACCACAGATGCAGTGTTGGGGTTATCCTCCTTTTCCCTCCTTTTTAGTGGAAGGAAATGAGTCTGGAGGTTAAATGACCGGCTCCGAATCACAAGCTAATAAGTTGCAGAGCTGATCTTCACACCAGAGCCAAGCCCCATCCCCATTACCCTTCCAGAGCTCTTTCTATATACAAGCATAATTACACAAAAACGGGATCGTACTGTATGTAAATACTTTTCACTCCCACATTATCGCGACCATCTTTCCATGTTGGTAAGTCTACTTCAACAGCAGTCTTTTTAATCCAGTGTTCTTCTGTTTCCTCTTCTTTCCACCCTACCCCCAGGATCGATGAGAACGTGCTGGGAGCCCAGCTGGATGTTGAGGCCGCCCATTCAGAGATCCTCAAGTACTTCCAGTCGGTCACCTCGAACCGGTGGCTCATGGTCAAAATCTTCCTTATCCTCATTGTCTTCTTCATCATCTTTGTGGTCTTCCTTGCCTGAACCTTCTCCACTCTGAGGCACTCCATCGGGGTTTGGAACCCCTTTGGGAGGGCAGGTGGCCAGTGCTGTCACTGAGCCTTGTGCAGGGTGCTTGGGAGAAAGGCCCTGTTTCCTGGAACTGCTGAGAATGGCCACTGCCCCTGCCCCCTGCCCCTTTGCCTCTGGCCACCCTGTCCTCCCCTCACCACCCTCAGGCCCTCGAAACACACAGTTCTGGATTTGTACTCTGCTGTGAAGGGGCTGGAAGGGAGCAGAGGCCAACTGGGGGGCCGGTGGGGGAGGCTGTCTCCACTAGGTAGGAGATTTTTAGAAACTCCCCAGCCTCTTCCAAAGGAAACTTGGGCAGCAAGGGGAGATGATGGCCTTCCCCACCTTCCTGAGAGGGAGGAGAGGAAGTGAAGCCGCCCCCCGGGACCAACTTTCCCATCTGGGTTAGAATTTGACCTTTCTTCTTCCTCTCCCCACCACGTGAGGCAGGGGGCCCTGAGCCCCTCAGCTGCCTACACAACCCCACCTTTGGCTGCTGGTGACTCTTTCTGCCAAACGCGCTGCAGCCCATCTTCTCCCAATTACAGCAAGACTGTCAGCCTCACTAGCCATGTCGTCATTTCTGGGTGGGAGCGTCGAAGGGCCTTCGCAGCCAGTGGAGTGAGTGCACTGCCTGGTACCAGAACTGAAAGGCTGGGCTGATGGCTCTGAGGGCCAAGCTTTGGGCCCTGTGCACACAGCTGCCTCCAGGCAGGGAACACCCGGGTGCAGCAGCACTTCATGAGCCTGGAAACTTCCCTCCAGAGGGGGAAGCACAACCCCAGAATGGGGCCCTGATTGGTGGCAACTTTCAGGATCATCTCCAGCAGTATCTGTGCCCGTTTCCGCTGCATGCTCCAGCCGGCTGGCCCCCGTTTTTCCTTGAGCTGGATGACACACAAGCTCTGCCTGCCGCCAGGAGTAAAAGGTGAAGAACTCGTTCCCAGCTCCAGCTGAGGCTCTTGGTCCCCTCCAAGCCCCTCACCAAATCCAAGCCAGTCACAGGAGAGTGGAGGAGAAACCTGCCCGGAACAATCCCCTCCTGCCCCGCCAGGGAAGTTAATACACTCCGTGGCCAGGAGCCACCACCACATCATTCTGAGGTTCCTGGGGTACCCCCATGGCTCACACACCCCAAAGGAGGTTCAAGCTACAGAGAGAACCACACCGTACTCCTGAGAGCTGGCCCTAGAACTTTGGGGAGGTGCGTGGGGGCAGTCTAGGAGAACTCGGCCTTTTCTAGCCCAGGCATTGTACTATTTCCTCTCTCCCTGGTTTCCGCTCAGCAGGTGGTCTTGCATTCTCAGTGCCCAACTGACGCAAGCTTAGTTCTCGCACAGCACCTCGGTGGTGGGTGGTGGGTGGAGAGGTTGTGAAGACAGTCGGTTGCCAAAGCTGGAAAAATGGTCGATTCATTTGACTTGGCAACTCTTCTTGGGGAGGACGCATAGATCGGAAATTCATTTTATTTCACAAGTGTTTGTTGAGTTCTTGGTACATGCCAGGCAGGGTACTAAGCCAGAAGCTGGAGGAAGAAAAGCCACGAATTAGTCAAGGTCCCAGCTCTCTTGGAGTTTACGTTCTAGTTTTCTGTTGCCTGATAATCCATTTTATAGACGAGGAAAGCATGGTTTCTGTGGGCTGCTGGCAAAGGGCTGGGCTGAGACTTCAATACTGGCTGTACACCGCTAGGGGTCTCCGAACCATCACTACCGCTCCAAAGCCCAGGGCTCCCCTTCCTCGGCAGCCCTTCCTGCGACCCCCTTTCCTGTTCCTCTCAAGAGACCTGGGCTGCAGCAGCTTGCTCTTTGCTCCAGCGATAGCCCGGAGGTGCTGGCGTAGCGACGGACCGAAGAAAGCAGGCAGCGGGGCAGGCCTGGTCCAACCCCGGGGGTGGCCGGGTGAGCGCAGGGCTCCGGCGGGACGCGGATCGGCCGACCCCGCCCCCAGCGCGGCTGCCCGCCGAGTGCGCACGCGCAGGCGGCTGCGCTCCTCCGGCGGCACCGCCCACCACAGGGGGACGTCGGCGGCGCGCGACGCAGTTCGCAGAATAAATGCGGTGGCGCCGGGCGTAGGAGCGCTTCGGCCGGGGCGCTTGTGGGTGTTCGGTCGTTTGGCGGCGTTGTGGCCCGCGCCTGAGCCGACCCTGCTTTCTCACTGTGCCATGGCGGACGAGGGGAAGTCCTACAACGGTCAGTGCTGGCCTCAGGGGCGGGGAGCGAGGCGATCTGGGGCCCCCGGTGGGCGGCGCCGGCCTAGGCCGCAACCCCGGGGCGGGAGGCCGCGAGAGGCCGGGCGTCCGCGGGGGACGGCGGCGGCGCGGGCCGGGGGCGAGGCCACCCGGGGGCCTGGCCGCACTCGAGGCTGGGAGCGCGGCGATTTGACGCGGGAATCCTGGCGTTGCGAGGAGCTTGGGCTCGGAGCGGACGGCGGCCCGGCAATGGGGCGGCGAGATTCCTTTGAACTTTGTGGATGGTTGATGCCTGTCAGTTCAGTTTGGCGGCCAGACTCTTCCTTTTAATGTGAGTCAGTGCCGTGCTCATCGGCTACCTGTGTCCTCTTTTCCACCGCGTCCAGTCTCTTGCCCCGCCTCCCCGTGGCCTTGGCTTTGGCTTTAATATTTTAAACCTCCACACCAACTCGCTGTGCTAGTCCGAACACTGCGCAGGGTTTCAGGCCAGAGAAGTGGTTAGGAGCACATGACAGCTGAGGTTTGAGTCCTGAGTTGTCTTCACCAAGCTTGAGTGAATTCCACTCCCAGGCCTCATCTTTCTATCTCCCTAAGAAGGTAGCGACTGTAGTTACTTCCTAAGTTTGCCCTTGTGTGTGTTAAATGAGATCGTTCGTATCAAGCGCCTGGAGCCTAGTGCCTGGCCCTGGATAAAGTTGTCGGTGAATATTAGCCTTGTCTGCTATTCATGTGTTTGTTTGGTTTTTTCCTTTCTGTAGTCATTTCTTAAGGTTCATTGTTTGCAGCCTGCTAGGCATGAGGCACACCTTCTTGGGAGTTGTCGATTCTTTTTTTCTTTTTTTTAAGATTTTATTTATTTGAGAGAGATAGAGAACACATGTAGGCAGAGGAGCATCAGGGAGAGGGAGAAGCAGGCCCTGCTGAGTGGGGACCCCGATGAGGGGCTCCATCCCAGGACTCTGGGATCATGAACTGACCTGAAGGCAGCCGTTTAATTGACTGAGCCACCCAGGCATCCCTCATGGACCTTTTTTTTGAGAAGCCATTCCTACACCAGCATTGAGAGGGTCCTGTTCCTGGAGAGCAGTGAAGGACCCTTGGCTAAGCTCCCTAGTTGCCACTAGAATCTGAATCTTAAGAGTTGTCTCCAGTTAAAAAAGTATTTCTGGGGGGAGCTTGGGTGGCTCAGTTGGTTCAGCGTCTGCCTTTGACTCAGGTCATGATCCCAGGGTCCTGAGATAGAGACCAGTGTTGGGATCTCTGCTCAGTGGGGAGATAGCTTCTCCCTCTCCACCACCCCACCTCCACCCTACCTACTTGTGCATGCGCTCACTTGCGCGCACTCTCTCTCTCTAATAAAAAAAATTTTTTTTTAAGCATTTCTGGCCAAGGAAATAAAGAGCTCACTCCCAAAACTTCAGTGTGGCAGTTTGAGAACAAGAATTTTAAAGAAGCCAAAAAAAAAAGTTTGTTTTTTTTTTTAAGATTTTATTTATTTATTTGACAGACAGAGAGCACAAGTAGGCAGAGAGGGAGGCAGAGAGAGAGCGGGAAGCAGGCTCTCCACTGAGCAGAGAGCCCGATGCGGGGCTCGATCCCAGGACCCTGGGATCAGGGCCTGAGCCGAAGGCAGAGGCTTTAACCCACTGAGCCACCCAGGTGCCCCCCAAAAAAAAAAGTTTTAAAGAAGCCCTTAAATTGATTATATTTGTAACCATACGACATTTGTACTCTGTAGACAAAGGAAGGAAGCATGTTTACTAAAAGCTGATGTAATCATTATGATTGATTGGTTTTAAGAGATGTAAGAGGGGTCACCATCCAGATTTTGAGAGGGGTGTAATAAATTTGGGAGGCCAAGAGCAAGCAGATTTCATGTGACTTTCCAGTTCCACACCGAGTCCACGTTCTTCTCACACTTCCACATCGTGCTTCTTCTCTAGGTTCCAGTTTCTGACTCGTTTTTCTAAAGCTCTACACTGTCTTCCAGTAATGTTTCCCCCATGCTGCCAAGCCACAGAGAGGGTTCTGTCTCTCAACAGACAGAAGTTTGTGTGGAAGTGGGCTCGTAGTTGGTGTATATGTCATTCGATAACACAGGCTGCTGGATGCTGTGATCACCACAGCAGGGTAGCTGGACCAGCAACGTGTTTTCTAATCGATGTTGTTTTTAACCCCAGAGCACGATGACCGCGTTAGTTTCCCTCAAAGAAGAAAGAAAGGCCGGGGTCCTTTCCGGTGGAAGTATGGTGAGGGGAACCGTAGGTCTGGAAGAGGAGGGTCTGGCATTCGATCTTCCCGCCTGGAGGAAGATGACAGAGATGTGGCAATGAGTGATGCCCAAGATGTTCCCCGAATACGACAGTAAGTGACCAGTTGATCTGGTTTGATTTTAGTGACCCACTTATCTGGCTCTCTGCTGCCCACACCATTTCTCTTCCCATCTCTAAAAGTGAGAGATGCCAGGGCCAGGTTAATGCTTGAACAGTCTTAACCGCAATCCTGACAACAGTGTGGGAAGCCTTTGAGAAGACATTCCTAGTGTTTGTGGACATTTTATTCTCTGCTTTCCCACAGCAACCCCTATCCTTCCCGACCCAACCGTCGAGGTGACAGTTGGCACGATCGAGATCGCATTCATGTTACTGTGCGGAGAGACAGAACTCTTCCAGAGAGAGGAGGAGCTGGCACCAGCCAGGATGGGACCTCAAGAAACTGGTTTAAGATTACAGTGAGTGTCTGGGTGCCTGGGTGGCTCAGTGGGTTAAGCCACCCCTGATTTCGGCTCAGGTCATGATCTCAAGGTCCCGAGATTGAGTCCTGTGTCATGGTCTCCGTGCTGGGTGTGGAGCCAGCTTGAGATTCTCTCTCTTGCCCTCTGCACCTCCCCCCTCTAAAAAAAAAAAAAGATTACAGTGAGTGTCTGGGGAAGTAGATGCTGCAAGGGAGAGGGGGGCTGGGCTCCGAGTGAAGGTCTTTACTTTTCACATGACAAAGTCAATCTTCTCCGTTGTTTTCTCCACAGTCAGTAGTCCATCCTTTCTCCTAGAACACCTAAGAGCAGGTTCAGGAAAGGAATAGAAGTGACAAGCAAGATGGGGGTGGGGGGATGGGGACATCGTCTAAAGGAAAACATGATTAACTCGTTGGCAAGTGGAGGAACTGCTCTGAATGTCTCCATGTGTCTCAAGGCGAATGTGGGGTTTGGGGTCTCTTAAGGCCCCTGAGGGGTGGGCCAGGTCTAAATCATGTCTTGGACCTGTTAGACCCAAAAAGTTTTATTTTCTTGAGAAATACTAAGTTTAAATGGACAGAAAGGAGAGTAAGCAGTCTGTGTCTGACTTGAGTAAAAAACTTTTAACTGGCCCTTTCTTCAGGAAATCTTGGGAAAGTTGGCAGGTACGAAAGGAGCACTGGGTGGGTCTGCCAGTCAGCCTGCGTTACATGTTGTACCCTTTTCTCTGTCCTCTAGATTCCCTATGGCAGAAAGTACGATAAGTCGTGGCTCCTGAGCGTGATTCAGAGCAAGTGCAATGTCCCTTTCACCCCCATTGAGGTGAGTGAGATTAGGCCTTCGTGGCTGGCGGGACACCAAGGAAGGCGAGGGGCCAGCTGGACTGGGGGGGACCCTGGGCTCCAAGTCTCACACGTTCCTGTTTCCTCTTCGTGCAGTTTCACTATGAAAACACACGGGCCCAGTTTTTTGTTGAGGATGCCAGTACTGCCTCTGCATTGAAGGCCGTCAACTATAAGATTGTGGATCAGGAAAACCGAAGGGTATGTATAAAGGGCCTGGCCTGCCTGGTGGTTGGTCTTGGCCAGGAATTCCCTCCCTCCCCAGCTCAGGCCTTTCTGGAATTCACCCTGCCCTCCCCATCTCACCTCCAGATATCGATCATCATCAACTCCTCTGCCCCTCCCCATTCGGTACAGAACGAACTGAAGCCAGAGCAGGTCGAGCAGCTAAAGGTGAGGCAGGCTCCCTTCACGCGTTTCCACTCTGGTCCTCCCACTTCACCCATCCCCAGCCCTCCACACAGCACAAGTGACCCCCAGCCCCTTTTCCTTGTCCTGCAGCTAATCATGAGCAAACGATATGATGGCTCCCAGCAAGCGCTTGACCTCAAGGGGCTCCGTTCAGACCCAGGTAGGGCCGGTAGCAGTCATCCTCAGGGAGGTGGAGGCAGAGGGGGATCTGTCAGGCGGGGAAGGTCTGAGTGGTTTGGTACGAACTCCAACCTGGGAAAGCCCTCTCAGACTTGCCTTTCCTTCCTTTCTGCTTCCTGAAGACTTGGTAGCCCAGAACATCGATGTTGTCCTGAACCGCAGGAGCTGCATGGCGGCTACGCTGCGAATCATCGAGGAGAACATCCCTGAGGTGAGGCCTTTGTCGGGTTTTGAGACAGGAGGAAGCCGGGTGGGGTAGGTAGGATGGGGTTGGGAGGCAGGTGTGTCTCTGAATCCTTTGTCAGTGGAGCTTCCTCTCAACTTTTCCCTGCCCACAGCTTTTGTCCTTGAACTTGAGCAACAACAGGCTGTACAGGCTGGATGACATGTCCAGCCTTGTGCAGAAAGCACCCAGCCTGAAGATCCTCAACCTCTCCGGGAATGAGGTGAGACCTGAGAGCCTGGTTGTGTCATGGGTGGGGTGAGCAGAGGAGAGGGCTCGCCGGCTGACGGCAGGAGGCTCCAGACGCTTGGGGAGGGACATTCGGGGCTGGGGGTCTCGCTGGCTCTCCTTATCAGGGTCTCCTGCCTGCTGTTTTCTCCCCCGCTCTCCGCAGTTGAAGTCTGAGAGGGAGTTGGACAAGATAAAAGGGCTGAAGCTGGAAGAGCTGTGGCTCGACGGAAACCCACTGTGCGACACCTTCCGAGACCAGTCTACCTACATCAGGTCAGTTGTAGCCTCTGTCTCCCCTCCTGGGGACCTTCACCCCCCGGGAGGCTGAGCTAATATACCCTGACCAGTGCCCGTCTGCAGGAGATGTGCAGCCCTGAGCTGGAACCAAGTGTCCTTTGGGAGGATCACGTGCTCCTCCCTTCGTCTGTCCGTGTGTCCCAGCTTGACCCCAAGGTCTCCTTCCCTTCCTTCTCCCCTGACTACCTGTTTGCTGTTCTGTGGTCTTTCCTCTTCCCGAACACAGCCTTTTCTAGAGTCTCCCCACCCTGCTGTTCCAGGAAGGGCATCTCCCACTTTCTACTGTGACCTGGGGGTGTCTTGCGTACATGTCCCATACGTGGAGCTGCCTTGTGCCAAGAGCCTGGTATCCCTGGGCCGAGAATGGCCTCCCTCCGGGGACTTCCTGTTGATGGGCCTTCCCTTCTTTGTCTGGTGCTGGACCCTCTTGTCATTTTGCCAAGAGGGACTCTTCTCATGGTCCACCTGCCCAAGGCGGTTGCCTGGGCTTTCCCCCTCGTGCTGAGGTTGAGGCCTCCTCGGAGCTGGTGCCATGCACTCTGTCTCTCTTGCCCGGAGCTGTGAGCTGGGCCCTCCCTGGAGAAGAAACCTGGGTTCCCCAAGCCATGTGACCAGAGCCAGGGCCCCGCCAGCCGGCGAGGGAAGCCCAAGGCAGGCGCTGGGCGTGGAGGCCACGGGGGCATAGGCTACCGAGGAGACAGAGCACTGACCCTCTTGGGGGGCGCTGCCCCGCCCTCGCACACCTCACGTCACCCTGCTTGGCCCCGGAGGATGGCTGGTTAGCCAGAGACGGGTAAGATTCCTCAGGGAAGGAACAACCTAAGACAGGCACAGTCGCAGAGGGGCCATCAGGAGAGAACTTGGGGGCCAACAGAGGTGGGGCGCAGACCCTCACCCCCCCAACTTTGCAGGGGCCTGAACCCTCACCCCTTCTGAGGGAGGTCTCCTGCCCCCACGGCTGCTTCGCTTCCCACGCCCAGCTGAGATCGGGACCCAGGTACCAGACCGAGACCTGGCCGACAGCATGTGCCCTCCGGCCGCAGCAAGCGCTGTTTCCCGTCTGTACCTTGGGCCACGGGGCAAGGGGCAGCCGAAGGAGAAGGCTGTATCGGGTGTCTCCTTCCCTTTTTCTTCCTTGTTTCGGGGACGCCTCCTTGCCGTCTGCAGCTCTTTCGCCTTTGCTTTGCTTTCTCTCTCTTCTTACTCTCTGCTCCTCTCCATCTCCCCATCTCTCCCTTGCTCTGGCCCCATCCTACCTTCTCTCTTCTCTTCTTTTCCTTCCCTGTCTTCTTCCTTCACCTCCCCTCCTCCTGACCCCGCCTTGTTCATCTCCCTGCCCCAACATCCTGTGCCATCCCTGTGGTGTGTTCTGGTCTTGGCCATGGCCAGACCGGGCAGAACTGATGGATACCTGTTGAGGCAGCGGAGCCCCTGGGCTCCCACCCCATTCCCTCCTCCCGGGGCTGCACAGGTGAGTAGGTGGAAGGTAAGGGGGGCAGGGTGGGGAAGGAGGTCCTGGCTTAAAGCCTGGGCTGGGAGTGCTGCGCTCGTGGCGCTCGGGTCAGGCAGCAAGAGGGTCCGCCTTCAAGGCGGTCATTCCTGGGTGCCCCAGGTGAGGTGGGGAGTGGGGCCTCTTTTCCAGGGGCTCAGAGGCTGGGGAGGAGTGAGAGGACAAGCAGGATGGGGTGGGCGGCCCCTTGGGCATTGGAGTATTTGCTCCTAGAGCAGCTCAGGAGGCACGGCGGCTCTGAAGTGTCACTCATTTGCGTCCCGTTTTTGACAGCGCCATTCGAGAACGATTTCCCAAGTTATTACGCCTGGTAAGTCTGTAGCTCTTTGTTCTTTCCTTTTGCTTTTTTTGTTTTTTTTTAATATTTGGTTTATTTATTTAACAGCGCGTGCACATAAGCGGTGGGAGTGGCAGGCAGAGGGAGAAGGGAGTGGCAGGCAGAGGGAGAAGGGAGAAGCAGGCTCCCCACAGAGTAGCCCGATGTGGGACTTAACCCCAGGACCCTGGGATCATGACCTGAGCCGAAGGCAACCGCTTAATCCACTGAGCCACCTGGGGGCCCGTTACGGTTTTTCTAACGAGCACAAGCTCTCCCACCCAGAAGCTCTCACCTCTCGTGTGTTTGACCAGGAATCTGGAGACGTGGAGCCCTTTGAGAATCTGGCAAAGGCTATGATCCTTTTCAGAAAGAGGCCAGTAGACAAAAGTTGCCTCTCTCTGGACTCCTGGACCTTCTGCACATGTCCTTGACACTTGATCTCTGAGCCCTCATTCCTCGTTCACCCATCTCATTACTCATCCAGCCTTTTCTCTCTGGTCATGCTGCCGACTTCCACTTCTTGCAGGACGGCCATGAGTTACCCCCGCCAATTGCCTTTGATGTCGAAGCCCCCACAATGTTACCGCCCTGCAAGGTAGGAAGGGGCAGAGTTAGAACGAGGGTTGGGAGGAGAGGATCAGACACGTGGTCCTGATACCTGTGTGATTCCAGGGAAGCTACTTTGGAACGGAGACCCTGAAGAGTCTGGTCCTGCACTTCCTGCAGCAGTAAGTATACCGCAGGCCCTGAGGCTGGGGAGCGGTGGGCGGGGCACAGTACAGCCCGCTCTGGGGAGCCAGCCGGGGAGTCAGACTTCCCCTTCTGTTCTGCACAGGTACTATGCCGTGTATGACTCTGGGGACCGGCAGCGGCTCCTGGATGCCTACCACGATGGGGCCTGCTGCTCCCTCAGCATTCCTTTCACCCCCCAGAACCCTGCCCGGTGAGTGTCCCCACCCGCCGCCTGCCCCGGACCACGCACGCGAGCCCCTGCGAGCCCCTGCTGGCGCGCATGCTGCTCTGACCCGGGCCTCCTTTTCCACTTAATCCTCTAGAAGCAACCTGGCCGAGTACTTCAAGGATAGCAGGAACGTGAAGAAGCTCAAAGACCCAAGTAAGTGCGTGGTGTGAGCACAACAGCATGAGAAAGGGGGCTGGGCGGGACTCTGTCACAGGGCCAGCATGTGGCAGCCCCGGATCTTGTGTTCTCCTCCCCCACAGCCCTGCGGTTCCGGCTGCTGAAGCACACACGACTTAACGTCGTGGCCTTCCTCAATGAGCTGCCCAAAACCCAGCACGACATCAACTCCTTTGTTGTAGACATAAGCGCACAGACGGTAAGCACCTGTTTCTTCCCACAAAAGCCGGAACTGAAGGAAGGAGCACTTATGAGGCCTGGGGGCCTCAGGATCTGGCCGGGAGTCCGCATGGTGACTGATGCCTTTTCTCTTCCAGAGTACGTTGCTGTGTTTTTCTGTCAACGGGGTCTTCAAAGAAGGTAAGTATCTTTGGGGTCCTGAGTTTGCAGAGTGGGCCTCCCACAGCGAGATTTTTTTCCGTGGCACTCTAAGCTGCCTTCCCTCTCTGTCCCTGACCTCCTCCTGTTCTGCGCCCAAGCCGCCTTCATGAGGCCTCCCTTCACCTGTCTTTCCTGTCTGGGAAATGGGAAAAGCCTGAGGATTAGGAGGACACAGACTCTGGGGTCAGGTCTGGGCTTCCATTCCAGCCTTGAGCCCGTGGATGTGTGGGCAACTTACATTATCTGCAGACTTCAGATTCTTTCTTGTGAAGGGAGTTAGTAAGAGCTCCGCCCTGGGGAGTCAGTGGCGGGGGGCAACTGACACAGGGTCCAGGTGGGCTACCTGGTGGTGGTTCGCCCTGGCCTCTGACACGCCTCTTCCCCTCTCCTCCCATGTACGCATGTGGTCATCTGTCTGGTCTGCTTCAGTTTAGTCGTATCGAGTTAAGACCAGGATTGAGAAGCTTTTAGTAAACCTAACGTGGAGCTAGTTCTGAGGGGTCATTGTTGTTGTTGATGTTACAGTGGACGGAAAGTCTCGGGATTCTTTGCGAGCCTTCACCCGGACGTTTGTCGCTGTTCCTGCCAGTAACTCAGGGTAAGAGTTGGGCTTATCACATGGGGTCCCAGTCCCAATCCGTGGCCAGCATGTGGAAACTGGTGGGAGACGCAAAAGGGGAGCAAGTCCTCAGGATATTTTCAGAACTTCAGAAAGGCAAGTGGGCATCAGGAGGCGGCTCTCCCGGCCGTGAGCTCGGCTCTGGAGCCGTACTGCCTGTCTGGCTGTTTAATCCTGGCTGCCCCACGTCGAGCAAAGAGCAGGTTTTGTCACTGGGAAACTAGCATAAGCTACTTACTTCGTTGTTCTGTCTTGAAGATCCACGGTGATAAGAACTGCCCTGAGTTGGGGAAGAATGTGTAATTCCAATGTGTTTGGCATCTGCCCCCACACACGGGTTCGGTGGGAAGGGGCACAAATGATAAAACGTGACCGCGAGTGGGGAGGGGAGCTTTGCGGGCATTGAAAGAATCTGTCAAGTATTATAAAAGTGTCAAATGTGAGAACAGAAGTGATGTTGGGAAGTTGAGGTTGGCTGTCTGTTCGGCTGTCTAAAGTGCTTTTTGTCCCAAAGGCTGTGCATCGTAAACGACGAGCTGTTTGTGCGGAATGCCAGCCCTGACGAGATCCAGAGAGCCTTCGCCATGCCCGCACCCACCCCGTCCTCCAGCCCAGTGCCCACCCTGTCCCCAGAACAGCAGGAGATGCTGCAGGCGTTCTCTACCCAGTCTGGCATGAACCTTGAGTGGTCCCAGAAGTAAGTGCTGGGCATGTGTAGGAGTAGGGGTAAACGGAGGCAGAGGTGGAGTGAATGAGTGCTCCTGATATTTTAAAAGCCAAAATTTATAAATATGGCCTGTAAAAAAAAATGTGGCCTATGTCTAAATCAGCATAGCAACAATTTTACGGTTCTGCAACTTATTTTTTTTGCTTACCCCGTGAATGTCTTACCCTATCGTTATAAAAATTACCTTGACAGCTGTTTATCCTTTGTATCCGGTAGACCAGTGATAGACATTTGAATTTTTACTTACTTTTCATTTGTAATACACAGTGCAAGAATGTATGTAATTTTGGCACACACGGGTGTGTTTCTCTAGGAAGGATTGTGAAGAGGCATTTAGTGAGCAGGGTGAGTGCATTTTGGTTCTGATTGTGCTGCCTGTTTTTCCCCCACTCCAGGTGCCTTCAGGACAATAACTGGGACTATACCATATCTGCCCAGGCCTTTACTCATCTCAAGGTAAGTTTCGGGAACTTGACAGGAAAAGGACCAGGGATCTCTGGGCCTTGAGAGGGTCAAGCCAGCCATCGGGGATGGGGGAAAGGGGTTGGCTCTATTGACCTTTTTTTTTTTCCTAAGGCCAAGGGTGAGATCCCAGAAGTGGCATTTATGAAGTGATCATAGACCTACCCCCAGAAGAAGCCCTTGTAAAATAGCCCTTGGATATTGATGTCTTCTTGTCGTGGCTGTTGTCTCCGCCTCTCTGGCCCCAAGGCCACCCCGTGACTGTGACGGAAGAGGAAGGGCCGCTGGATCCCTCTCCTCACCTGCCTTCTGGAAGACTTCTGGAAGTTTGAGCCTCACTGGTGCCAGGAAGCCAAAGCTTACTTTGTAGAACTGACACTAAACTCCCCGAAGGACTTAGGTGCTTTGTGTACTTAACCCCAGAACCAGCCCTACTTTTTAAGATAAAAGAGTGACGTTGTATTTTGTGTCCCGTGTGCTACATTGTTTTTGCCTCGCCCCCTGCCCACAGTAGGGGGCCAGGGCGGGGCGATCCGGGTGCCTGCGCTAGGCTGCTAGGCTCGGGGGTGGGGCTGTCGGCCGGAAGTCCCTCCCCGGAAGCGGCGCTGCGCAGATTCATGGCGGCACAGGGGAGGCGGTTGTCCGCACTCGCGTTCCTCCCACTGCGGCCCCTGCATGACGCGGCTCCGCCTCGGGACGTCCTGCTCTTCCAGCATGAACGGGGCCGCTTCTTCGCCATCCTCGGGCTGTTCTGCGCCGGCCAGGGCGTCTTCTGGGCCTCCCTGGCCGTGGCAGCCTTGGCCCGAGCCCCAGCCCGAGCGCTGCCTCCAGACGCGGAGCCCGCAGACCGCGGCCGCCTGGACCTGCGCTCCGCTCTCTGGCGCTACGGCCTGGCCATCGGCTGCGGTGCCATCGGTAAGGCGTGGGCTGGCCTCCCACCACGGGGACGTGGGGTGGCTGGACACGACCCTCCCTGCCCCGCAAGGACAGTGCGGGGCTCCCGACCTGGAGGCCCCCCCGCCCCAGCCAAGCATCGGACAGGCCTGGGGTACTGCGAGCTTGAGCAGTTACACCGCTCTGGACCCGTCTCCTGTCCTTAAAGCAGGGGTGTACATGAAGGCTGTTGGGGAGGAAGGATGAACACGAGAGTCGGGTAGAAGAACTTGGTAAATGTGACTGTCATGGCTGAAAGGGTCTGTAGACAAAAGGACGAGACTGATACAAAGCGAAGGTCAAGCAAAGCTTTATTTCGCGCCAAGCATCAAGAATCAAACTGACCGGCCAGGGCCGTCTCTTGCAAA